GTCCTATTGGTTTGGCAACGCGCAATATAAATCAACATTTTAAATGGTAGATTTCACAGTATAATTTTGATATTCAGACAGTCTAGGATGATTGATTTTTATGATTCACTTTTTGAAGTACACATAACTCTCGGATTTAAATCCGAAGTTTCCGCATTTATTTTTTATTAATATTGATGAGCGGCTACCGGGACTTATTTTTTCCACAGGATTTATTTACTTATTAGAGATTTATTAATTATGATAATATTTGATCACACCCTAACCCACACCCTTATCAACATCCATACCCATACTCACACCTTGTATGTATTGAGAAACTGCATGGAATTTATCTCACAAGGCTTAGGGGCTTATTGAAAGTCCCAATAAGTTCCGAAAAAATAAGTCCCTGTAGCTACTGATATTGATGACAGTAAAACCGCGCAGATGCTCATCACCTGTTCGATTCCGCACACTAATATCCTTCAGATTTCGGCTCATTATTTGCAATACTTCTTTAAAAATAAAGCTTGTTTTTATTTACGTATGAATCACAATTTAGAGCGAAATACTTACTTGTGATGTGCCATATATTTAATTCAAAATAATCATTACCATCAAAGAGTCGGACTTACGAAGACGCATTTTACACTAATTGATGAGTACACATGTCAATTCAAGAACAAATATATTCCGAAAATGCTTTGCTGATGTTTAAAAATCATTGATCTTACAAATTGATAGTAAAATTATTTCTTGTAGGGAGGGGGGGGGTCGGCATTCATAATCTCCCCTCTGGCTGCGTCATTGTTTACTTCATTTCCTTTTATTAATTTTAATCGATGATTTATTTCTTGTAGTTAGAATTAAAGAAATAAAAAGATAAATAGAAGAAATTCAGGAAAGAAAAAGAATTTTCACAAAGACTTTAAAGAAGCTAAATTATATTGTGAATAAAAAAACAAAAAGATTTGGCAAGAAGAGCTAATTTGATTTTTTCTGTATTGGAAAAGTTTCATTATGATAAAGTTAGACTTAAGTTCAAAACTTCAAATAGTTGAGCCGAATGTAATACCAATGGATGGTAGTCATGATGATGGTAATTTCGCTGTTGGCATGCTTGAATTTTATTAAGTACTAACATGTCAATGACAGCAGAATATATAATCTAGAAAATTTCGTTACTAAATTGTTCTGTTTACCGTCAAGTCAAAGTACAATAATTTTTTGCTACAAAATGACGTGATTTGAGGGTAATTATATCATTCGTCGACAAATTTTTGTCGACAGGCATTTTCGTCGACAACATTTTGTCGACAATTTTTTGTCGACAGACATTTCGTCGAAATTATTTTGTCGACCAATAATTTCGTCGACAAATATTTGTGATAAAATATTAATATTAAAAAGTACCAATCTATCTCTTTTTTTATTTAATCAAAGAGATACAACAGAAAATAACAAATAGTATATTGATCGATATAGAACAAATTTACGAATTACAACCAGAAAAATTTACCCTAAGAAGAAGAGGACAAATGACAAACAAACAGAAAACTTTTTTTTTCTACTTTAATACTGAATCATTTCTTCTTTGCGACCAACAATGATAAACCTTCAAGGTATTCGATGAGATCAATCTCTTTCTTCTTGAATCGATCTGCAAGAGTTTCAAGACATTGCTGGATGCGACAGGTTCGTTTTCCGTACACCTTTCTTTTTCCCATTTTCACATGTTAGACATATTGATTGAAGCGTACTTGTTCTTCTTGAAGAACACGAATGAAGTGCCATATATTCGGGTGCTTCTTGTCGATGCGGTGGGCAAACCTGTTGTGCCATCCTGAGTGAATCATATTCAAATATTTTAAGGGAAAAAGAAAGGAACTACATCTTACCTTCCGCATTATTATTAGTTGTTACTTTGAGATCATGCACATTCCATAAGTCTATTGGTACTTTCTCTATCCAAAAATCTTTGAAATAATTAAATAGATCATTAATAGATGATGGATGATTGTTGGCAAGATGTTCGAAAGCAGACTCCACTTTGTTACGAGGTAGCAAAGCAAGTGCCATCAATTGTTGGCATACAGATCGAACTTCTGGATCATTATTGTAGAGAGTTGACAATCCAAGACTTTGAATTTGTCGATGAATACTTTGCGTGTAGTGGAAAAAACATCCAATATGTCGGGACATTGGAAACTAAAAGACATTCGCAGAACAACACAACTAGATACTAAGAGCAGCGATAGGAACTTACATGATGTTTTACAGACTTGATTAATCCACTCTCAAAATCGGTTGTTATTAATTCAGGTTCGAATGTCATATGAAGGTCTGAAGCATGTTGATCAAGAAGTTGAAACAGATAATTATAGAAAGCACTTGATCGACCAGGAAGAAGAGCAATGATACATGGCAATACTTAAAAAAGAAAGTATTTTAAGTTCACAGACTAAGAAGAAGAAAGAGAACTCACCGTGTGCATGGTGTACCCCATGAATAGTTAGAACTTGATCAAAGAAAGGAGGACATACTAAGAATGTACCATCGATGAAGATATGCTTCGATTCGAACAGCATAACCAATTGTTGTTCACTAGCAAATATCAATTCTCTTTTGCCACGTGTTTGTGTATCTTTAAAAAGAAATTCTTTGGCATCTAGAGTTTGCGTGTAAATTGTAGGAATGTCGAATTCGATGGAGGTAGGAAGAGTTGGTATTGTTTTTCGACGAAGACGAGAGAGAGATGAATCTAGAAATAAAGTTGAAACTAAAGGGAATAAATTTTTCTGAAAGTAGATACTTACGAGCGTCTTTAGCATCAGGTGCAAGAGCTAAACTAGTTTGACTGAGTTTTGCAGCTGCGAGCTCTTGTTCGTAGATGCGAGCAATTGGTGTTGTCTCATGGATTACTCGTGCTTCCACATTTTTCTTGAATTCTAGAAGTTCAATTCGATCAGGAGAAGGTAGATGGCCATCATGAGTGCCCGAATGAGCTTTATAGTTGTCATTTGCATTAGTGTGAACAAAAGCAGAACAAGAACGATCTTCGCATCGCCAGTATTTGACTTTGCCACGATCTTTATTCAATGTGTAGGCATATCCGCTATAGAGAAGTAGTCGTTTGCCTTTTGTTGTTGTTCTAAATTCCAAAGTAACCGTATCAGTTGCCATAAAAAGATAACGTTGGTGAAAAAATTTTGAATATTGTTATGCTCTCAATTGACTGGTATATATATATATCACATGTGAAAAGAAATTAATTCAATTATCAATTTAATTAGCTTTAGAAAAAAACAGTTTCATTGATTGATCTTTTTTTATTCTGTTTCAAATGGAAACACTTTCAACTAATTAGTCAAAGTAAAATTTAATCATAAGCCCTCTTTTCTTGTTAACAAATAGAAGTTCATAATATCAATGAGCACACAATAGATTAAATTGATGGTCGACGAAATATGTCGACAAAATAGCTTTCGACAAAAAGTCGTC